GAGATCGCAATAGGGAAATCCGCGGGGGATTTAAATATCCCCCGCGGCATTTAAATAAAAATGTCCGCCGCTTTTTTCCGGCTTTTAGAAAAGCCGGAAAAGAGCATCTACACTGGCCCCGATCCTCTGGAAAAAAAGCCCTTTTCTGGAGGATCTTATTCCTACTTCCAAAGATCTTATTCCTACTTCAAAGTAGGAATAAGATCCTCCGGAAAAGGGCTTTTTTTCCAGAGGATCGGGGCCAGTGTAGACGCTCTTTTCCGGCTTTTCCGGAAGCCGGAAAAAAGCGGCGGACATTTTTATTTAAATGCCGCGGGGGATATTTAAATCCCCTGTGGATTTCCCTATTGCGATCTCTGAAATTTAACATGCCCCTTCCGGAAAAGGGGCCAGTGTAGACGTAGCCCAGGACTTTTCAGTCAGATTAAACCAACTCTTGAGCTAATGTAACTGAAATGTAATGTAATCTTTGCTCACCTAAGGGGGAAAGAAAGGGCTTCCTCTCAGAAATAAACACACAGACCCCCAATCCTTGAAAGAAGACATAAGGCTATGCATGTGACAAAGTGGGGTTTTGCCTATGAAAGTTTATGCCCAAATAAATGTTAGTCTTTAAGATGCTCCAGGACTCTTCATTGTTTTTGCAGATACCGACTAACACGGCTACCCTTCTGATACTCAAGGCCAAGGTAAAGAGCTCCACCCCAGGAAGATAGCTCTAAAACTCTGTTTGTGGCATCAGTTATGAAAATTTAAAAAAAATTGCTTGAGCCATGGTACTTTTTCCATTTAAAATTAAGCACTGGGTGAGACTCTCCTAGGGTGTACAAAGAAGGTAAGATGAAACAGAAATCAGAAAGTTGGCAAAAGAAGGAAAGAGAGAGAGAGAGAGAGAGTGTGTTGGGAGCTAAAAATCCCGGCATTTTATGTGATTGCTGGTGAAGGTAGGGGTGAAAATGGAAGTGTGGAATAGGAGTTAAAATAAGAACTCGGTTTAATTCTCATCTGATGTCTGTTTGCAGTGTCACTTGGGATTAATTAGTTAACTTCTCTAGCCTTATGTACATCATGAAAAATAGCTGTTGCTGCTAACAGATTACCATAGTTGCCACTGAACTGGTGCTGAACATGGTTTGACTTCATGTTGTATAGGCAGGAGATAACTTATTCAATACCACTTCAGAAACCATGGCTAAAATTTATTCAGTCTGAGATTCTCCTACCATGATTATCGAGGCCCCATATATTCTGACCTATAGTCTCCAGCAGGGTCGTTGGATTCTGCTGTACACTGGTGCCACAAACAGAAAACTCATTTCTCATTAGAAAGATATGGGTCATTTTTTGCCCAGTGTCTCATTCCCATTTTGCCAGCTTCTCTTTCCTCTCCTCAAATCATCAGGCAGGAGTTAACATGAACAGCTTTTTTGATCAAAGAACTCTTTGCAATTTTTTAAAATTTTTTGCCCCCCCCCCCCAACATGGTTAGCTATCTGTAACTATTCATGGACTAAACATTCTGTCCCAAAAACTGTGCTGATTGCCTCAGGCCAGAAATTGCTATGCTTGTTTTTGACAATAACTAACATGAATTAATTGGCACTCTCACTAATTCAGAGCTGAATGACTTACTTTATATAGCTTTAAAAATGGGTGACTGACCCATCATGTGGAGTTCTGCCATCTTCCATGTACTATGAATAGTTCATTGTTGGGACTGTGACATCAGAGATAAAAGAGCCAACTGCATCCCCTATTTCATAGTTTATTTGCATACCACAATCCTATTGGTTTACAGGGATCAGTTGCAAGTCTTTTTCATTACACAAACCCAGCCTCTAGTCCAGCAATCAACAACATGTTCCTGGACTTGAACCAATGGTCAGTCAATGGAACTCTACATAGATACAGCAGAGCTCCTAGGATACATCTGCTCAGCAATTAAAAACATATGGTTGTCCCAGGTCATCTGACTCAGGCTGCAGGACTGTAATATTGTTGCGTAGATGTTCCAGCTTGGGCTGGAGCCTGAGCTTTGTGACCCCACGAAGCGGGAGAGTCTGAATTAGCTGAACAGAGCCCTTTGGGGCTATGCTGTAGGTCCTTTATTCCTGGGGAGACATACTCCCACACTCTACCTGTAGATTGAGGCCTAAACCTTTGCTCAACAAAATGCTATTTAAATATTACCTTACTCAGCATGCTAGATGTAGTTTTCTGCTTGTACTAACAGACAATTCATCTTTATCATGTGCATTTACGTTCCTTTTCTGCACCTAGGCAGAGTTCAGTGGGGGATCTGGAACATAAGCCCCAAACACCACATGTGAGTCACTGTGAGTTTATGATGGAGGCCTTAGTTTGGTTGTTACCTAAACTAACACTGAAATCCTTTAAAATAAATATGTACTTAAGGTTACCAGAAAATTGTACTATGAGCTATTATGATGGGTAAAGATTACATTGATAGCATATAGGCATCCCAAAGATAGTGAAGAAAGTTCTGCTCTTATTCAGAACATAAAAACGGCCATACTGGGTCAGACCAAAGGTCCATCTAGTCCAGTATCCTGTCCTGCAACAGTGGCTAATGCCAGGAACCCCAGAGGGAATGAACAGAACAAGCAGTCCCTTCCACCTACAGTATATAATTAGCAACTGAAAAGAACAAAGAAATCCCAGGTGACCAATATAGTCCTTGGCTTTGAGTCTGCAGTTGGATTTACATAGGAAAAATCCCACATCCCTCCTTAATCCCACTGTATGAAGTAGAACTCTACAGCACAAGGCAAATCTGTCTACATGCATCTATTTGATAGAATGGGACCTCAATTTCTAACCTTTTTTGAGACTTGCTATGTTAATTTAGGCAAACTTCAATTATTGGCCATATTCTTCACTGTAAGTTCATTGAGTCAGTGCAGTAAGGATGAAATGGATGGACTGTTTAGTTCATAAGAATCTGAACAAAGATGTGTTAAACAAGTTTTTACCATTTGTATTGCATTTCTAAGGTATTACTGAGTGTCTCAGTCTGTAATGGATTTATGAGATAGAGAAGTATTGCTATCTGCAGTTTACAGATAAGGAAATGAGATACATGTGACTCGACCAAGGTCTCTCAGAAATATTGTGGCAAATTGAACCTTGGTTTTCTAAATGCCAGGATAAAATCCTAAATGACTGAATTCTCTTTCCTTAGTTGGTTTATATGCTAATGAAAATTAACATAAAATGTTCATAAGTAAAAGGATTTCAGCTGGCAAAATACAGTTCTAAGTAAGCTGTGATTTAAAATAATGACTTCAGGGAATAGTGAACAGGGTTCAGCATCCTTAGTTTTAAAATAAAGATGAAAGACATTGAGCCTTCCCATCAGTATTTTTATGGTACTCTGTCAGACCATGTTTAATGAAGGAAGTTTCACCGCACCCTTAAAAAAAAAAAAGGCAGCCATGTAGCTTGTGATATACTGTTGTACACCAATTTCCAGTAAAAAGCTTTAT